TGAGCACATGGAGGATCGTGTTTTCTCTTCGGTTCACTCCACGGTTTTCAAGGAATCCGAATCATTGGAAGGGAAGTGTGATAAAATCGAAGGTTACGATTTCAACCAGGGAGTGAATTACCCGAAGCTTCTCCGATCCATGCTCACCACCGGATTCCAAGCCTCAAATCTCGGCGAAGCTATTGATGTCGTCAATCAAATGGTTTTTTATTCCTTCTCGGGAATTAAAGTTCCTTTTGTTTTTCCTATGACATCAACCTTCGTTTTAGCTGAATCAGTGACATGGGTTTGAATTGTATTGAAGCTAGACTGGAGACTGGCTGATGAAACTATAGTATCTGAAGAATGCAGTGAAGAGGAGAAAAATTCATCGTACAGGGACTCTGTGAGGTGTAAAATCTTTCTGGGTTTCACTTCGAATCTTGTTTCATCTGGTGTTAGAGATACAATTCGATATCTTGTTCAGCATCATATGGTTAGTGATTTGAGTAATCTCCCTGTTAATGGACGTTAATTATCGAGCTATAGTTTGAGTAACTTAGCCTATCTTTACTTGGAAGCTTTTTGATTCTAATGTTTCTGCAGGTTGATGTTATAGTCACTACAACTGGTGGCGTAGAGGAAGATCTCATAAAATGCCTTGCACCCACATTTAAAGGTGATTTCTCTCTGCCCGGAGCTTATCTGCGCTCAAAGGGATTGAACCGAATTGGGAACTTGCTGGTTCCAAATGATAACTACTGCAAATTTGAGGATTGGATCATTCCCATCTTTGACGAGATGTTGAAAGAACAGAAAGAAGAGGTATTGTCTTTTTTTCTTTTTCTGTTTTTCATGGGATTTGAATGTTTTTTCCGGTTTAGTGAACCTTCTGTGAATGAAGCCTTGTATTGTTGTACTAGTTAGTTGAAAATGATTCTGTTTGCGAGTTACACATGTTTAACGAGTAGAGATAGATTTTGTTTCCTCTTCTTGCATCATAACTTTGTTGATGAAACCTTTTTCCTCTGGTTATTCCTTGTTGAATATGTAGAATGTGTTGTGGACACCTTCAAAGCTGTTAGCGCGGTTGGGAAAAGAAATAAACAACGAGAGCTCATACCTTTATTGGGCATACAAGGTAACCAAAAGTTGCCCTTTCTAGTATTTTTTTGGCATGTTGTTTGGAACTCCAAAGCTGATTTAAATCCATCTCTTGCTGTGTTTTATAGATGAATATTCCAGTATTCTGCCCGGGGTTAACAGATGGCTCTCTCGGTGATATGCTGTACTTTCACTCCTTTCGTACCTCTGGCCTCATCATCGATGTAGTGCAAGGTACTTACTTCACTCAGTGAGTCAGTGTTATGAATTTTCTTGCTAAATCTAGTGCAAGAGCCTAGGGTTTGTGCAGTGAATTGTAGCAGATCTTACAGTTAGTTAATAGCCAAAGGTTTGAACTGGAGAGGTTAGCATTATGGCGCATTCTGGTTTTGGTTGTGGGCATTGGGTCGCGCTAACCGTTACGAATCTTATGATGACAATGTGTCCTGTATAGTGCTGGATTATAAGATATGGTCCTTGAACCAGTTAATGGTTTTTTGATCAGATATCAGAGCTATGAACAGTGAAGCTGTCCATGCAACTCCAAGAAAGACAGGGATGATAATCCTTGGAGGGGGCTTGCCGAAGCACCACATATGTAATGCCAATATGATGCGTAACGGTGCGGATTACGCTGTATTCATAAACACAGGGCAAGAATTTGATGGGAGCGACTCGGGTGCACGCCCTGATGAAGCAGTGTCCTGGGGTAAAATAAGAGGATCCGCTAAAACCGTTAAGGTCTGATTCAAACCTTCGCTAGTTTCTCACTCAGTGGTGTTTGATTAAATCTGATGATGGATCATTCTTGCAGGTATACTGTGATGCTACCATAGCATTCCCTTTGTTGGTTGCGGAAACATTTGCCTCCAAGAGAGAACAAACCTGTGAGCCCAAGACTATTGCCTAAGTTTTCTCAACTTTTAAGTGATTCAGATTGTATTCGATTAGATACACGAGTCTTGTGGTCAGTGATTCGTCGCCTTTAGACAATATTCGATATCAACACTAGTGACTGTGGTTCGGTGATATGTTGATGCCCAAAATCAAAACATTATCAAAGCTGTTCCAGTGGGGAAATCTCTTTGTAGTGTTGATAAATTAAACCGATGTAATGAAACAAAATTGGATAATGAAAAATAGTTGTTTGAGAAAGAAAAAAAAAAGTGAGTTTCATTCATCATTACAATTTTTTTTATCATCTTATTCATCATTATTAGTAGAAAAAACTTACAACTTACACCAATGATTTATTTCACTTATAATAACCCAACTGACCGAATGAAACCCTATTTCGTTGACCCTACACCTTGACAACTGGTACAAGCCGGAGAGGAAATTTTCTTGTGACAACAAACTGAGAAACCTCCTCCATGTTAAGCTCTTCCGGTTTAGAACCATCATGCATCTTCCAATCAAAACGATACAAGAGATTAGCGATAATCTCCTCGAGCAAAACGATACCATAAGCCATACCAGGGCAGTTCCTACGACCAAAACCAAATGGAGCGTACCCTTGGTTTCCCATGAAATCAATGTTCTTATCCAAGAATCTCTCAGGGACAAACTCATTCGGTTTCTCCCAATCCTTTGGATCACGTTGCACCGCAAAGAGATTCACCAACACTTTAGTATTGGGAGGAATATCGTAGCCGCCTACTTTTATCCACTTGGATGATGTCTCTCGTGGAACTATCCCCGGAGGATGCAGCCTCAACGTCTCGTTAATGATACATCTCAAATAATTCATTTGATCTATTTCGTTATTGCTTATCTTAGCTTTGGTCCCAACTACGTTTTCTACTTCTTCTTGTGCTTTCTTTAGAACTTGAGGATGCTTGATGAGTTCCGAAAACAGCCACTCAAGCTCCAACGCTACTGATTCTACAGCCGCCACAAACGTTCCCTACAATTAAATCAAGAACAACTCAAACATGTTAGTTCTATATACATGCATGAAAGTATATATCTAGCTAGAGACATATATAGTGACAAATCAACTCAATTATATGTAACACAAACCTTCATGATAGCCTTGACGTCGTAGCCAAGTTTATCTCTGTCTCGTAGACGAAGAAGAACGTCCACATAACTTTCCTTCTCTCTTTCTTTGATGAGTTTTTCCATAATACCATCCAACTCCGAGTAGGTGCTTTTCAAAAGAGTTGTAAATCCCGTGAGTTTATCGATCCAAGCGAGACTTGGGAACAAATCCGCGACACAGAAAGATCCCATGAGCTTCTTGAACTTGACATCCCAATCCAAAAATTTCTTCGTAGTACTCTCTTCCCTTTGGTAGCTACCAGTTTACGACCTATGAAAGACATTGCTCACCACGGTGTTGAACATATTCGTTATATCTATATCTTCGCCTTTTACGTTTGATACGTCGATGGTCTTCAACATACTTGAGATCTCTTCATCTCTCATCTCCTGAAACCGATTTACGGCGTTTTTGTTCAGGAGATGAAGAGCGCCAATCTTTCTTAACTGCTTCCAATGATCTCCATAGGGATGATACACCATGTCTTGGCCATTCCCTTTTAGAGGATGAAGGCTAGAGATCGCCGGACGGTTTGAGAACGCAATATCGTGATTCTTTGTGATCTCTTCAAGAGCATCAGAGGACGAGACCACGAGGTAACGAGTTGCTCCAAAGTTTACGAACATTAAAGGTCCATGCTTGAGGGAGAGGTCGTAGAGTGACTTGTGGGGTAAGTTACCGATCTGGTGGAGGTTTCCGATGAATGGGAGCTTTGGAGGGGATGGAGGAAGGTTTAGCTTTCTTGATTTGATATTTTTCTTGATAAGTGCGAAGATGAAAAGTGGTAACAATGCGAAAAGACTTAGAATGAAAGGCTTTGAGTTGAAGATGATTTGCTCCATGATTATTCTCTTTTTTAAGTTTTGTGATCACTCTCTTTGATCCATCCTTCTATTTATAGCACTTAAATGGTTTTACTCTGTAGAACTGCACAGTCAAAAACCCGAGACCAATACAATGAAAAGTATAGGAAAAGCATATAGAGTTACACAATTACAGTAGACCAAAAGTTACGCTGCTCGTTACAAATATAAATAAAAGGTTTTATTTTCATTAAATGAAAATTAATCTACAAATGAGTACAAATACAAATAAACTAATGTAATAAACCATATATATACCGCCGGTTAATATGACCAAGACCATTAACTAAAATATACTAAAACAGAGCGCAGACAGGTAAGTAATTTCGTTTGTTGAAACGACCAAACTTTTAAAACACTGGCAATTATTTTTCTATTCTTAACATATCATACTTTTCACCATTTCTTCGTATATAATTTGAGTATAAAGTGAAAAGCACAGAAAAAGCTGTGTTTTTTTGTCAAAGTCATCCAAATAATCCACTTTTCAACTTAGAAAGAATCCATTGTTTTGACTTATTAACATAATTACTTAAGTTTATGGAGTTTAATGTCATGTTAAATTTAAATGTGGTCAAGGTCAATGGAACCTCTAGGATTTATATGGTTAATGGAAAAATTCATCCTTTTTTGTTCGAGTTGATAAAAGTTGAGGATTAAATGATTTTCTTTTAGAGAAGACATGACTTTCTTCCTGTAAAATTATTATCATTAAAGAAATCACATAAATAAAAAAACGGTGGTGCGTCAAAGAATAAAAAGTTAAAAACAAAATAATGGTAATGGTGGTAGTTGAAAAAATAATAAAAAGTGAGTTTTTTCCATATTAAACAAAATAGGTTAAAACATACATTACACGTTTTTGAAGACCAGTAAGTTTGCTTGCTTCCGGGTAGCGAAGTGAGAACATGCGCTCAATTTGTCAATGGTACGAACGAAGTGGTCATATCGATTGCAGTCTTGTTGATGCCGAACGACCGTATTGTTCCCTCTAAATGATAGATACATAACTCTTGTTAAAAGCTCTAAATGATTATAACTCAAATGATTTAACATATCTCACCAGTTGTGGACTTGTGAGTAAGCTTAAGGCAAAATAAACGGTGAGTTAACTCAGACCAAACCAAGAAAACATATGAACTTGCAAAGAATAGGTGGTCACGGATTTTGTCTACAGAGAACATTTGAATTATGGATGTTGTAAATGCTATATTTTTCCCAATAATTCCATATGGAGCTATTGTATGAAAATTAAAGAAACTAGTGAAATAGTTTATTTGGATAGATAACCTCAAAAATACATTTATATCATAGTTTAAACTTTTAGTTTGTGATTAAAGTTAATCATTCATTATTTATAATTATTAGTTTTGAAAAAAGGAACTACAAGGGGCCGGAAGTGAAAAGTCTTTGTCAGTGGAGTAGCATTTAATCATTTATCACAGAACCAGTTAAATTCCTAGTCAAAAAAATTTCTCAGTCTCGGTCATCAGAAAAAGTTCAATTCCCATCTTCCTCGTAGTGGGGGATAGTACATTAATTGGGTTGTACAGTACTGACCATCATTTCATTTTTCTTTTCACCTTTGTTATTTTGTATGTTGTTAAATCATTATTCAGATTTCAGAGAGTCGTATCGTCTAATATCTCCAACGTGCGTCGACGCATATTTTTGAGAAAGTAGAATCTACTCTATATCAATGTTTTAGATCTACTCGACGAGACGAATCTGAAAGTTTAACATTTAAACCCGTAATATTAAATTAACAATTAAATTGTTTGTGTTCATGATTTTTTATTGTATTGTTAATATATAGGACATTATTAGAAATTGAGATTTGATGAAAGACGACAATTACCGTTCATGATGCATGCATGATAATACTCTTCTCTCAGTGGGAAGATTCATCGTCTGTACTACGTACCAGTTTATATTGCAGATAATCCTTTTCTGAGTTTTCTCTCAGTGGGAAGATTCATCGAAATTTCAGTAAGCCTCTTTTGTTTTCCTTCAATACTATTTCAAATTCGTATTTCCATTTTTGCTTCTTAATTAGTTAAAAAAAAATTTTTTAAAAATTCAAATTCATTTTTCCATATTTCCATTTACTAGTACTTTAAAATTTTTGCTTCCACTTTTGGTTATCCACAATGAAGTTATTATTTTAGTATTTTCGTTTTTGTAGAAACTTACGATTATCTGGATTTTGGATTTTTGGAATTAGATTGATATTATATTACGTATATATTTTGCTAAGTTCTAGGTAAAGGATATATATAGTTGCAGGCTTGCAGCATTTGAAGAAGCAAAAACAAAACAAAAAAGAGAGAGAGCCAGAGAGGTGTGAATGCGTATCCGTGAGGCGATTGTGAACACGATCGAGGTATGAAAAATAATGCGTACAAGAGTAATGGAGTTGAACAAGATAAATGATAGTCTAAGATTCAATTTTCTTTTTAGTTTTGCGTTTGGTCACCATTGACCCATTCTAAGATTTAGGTGGGACCAGTCGTTAATCGGTTTAAATAAAACTTCATTTTATGTGAATCGGCTTTACTAGTCAGTAAATGGATCGCTTAGGATTTGACTGATTAATACTTTAAAGATATATCATTTGATTTTAAAAGATAAGACTAGACTAATCACTAATTAAACAAACTAATCACCTGAACAACCGGTCAAATAAGTTTACCTTTTTTACTTATCTTCTCGTTCTACTCCAAATTAATATTTTAAAAATCAATGACTTTAATTTACTTTTAAATGAACACGATATATTAATATATTATATGTCATAAAGAGTGAACTGGCGAAATGACCATTAACTTTGTTTATAATTATCACATTACCATCTCTGTTTGGAACAAAAAAAAAAGAAGATCAAAAGGTTACTTGCACTTGGGATGTGACAACTATCCAAAAAGCCCATCACTCATCTACTCGAGATAGGCTTTGTGGGCTGCCATCAAAATTATTTGGAAAACGGAAATAAAAGGCTATTTCACTGATTATTAGAAAACGAAATGCCTTGGCCTCGCATAATACTTGATAGGAATTTAACCCTAGGCGTTGCTTTTGATCAACCTTTGAACAGGAACCAGCCTGAGAGGGTATATTTTTGCAACAACAAATTGAGAACCTCCTCCATGTTAAGCGCTTCCGGTTTAGAACCATCATGCATCTTCCAATCAAAACGATGAAGGAGTTTAGCGATAATCTCATTCGCGATGACAGATTCAACAAGCCCAAAGATTCACCTATACACTAGTTATTCCCTTTCCTAGCGAATGTGGGTATTCAACCACATAATAAAGAATGAGAAACTGGCAAAAGTTACAAAAACAGAGCAAAGTGGTTTTTAAGAAGGCTCACAAGATTCACAATATAACAAAAAAAACGGGTTACCATTGATATAAACTACAAAAGCTAGAATGATAAAATACGATCAACCAGATCATCTAGATATCGAGAAGACGATCCTCCTCGTTGAACCGATCTTCTTACTTCATCTCGCAACGCGTTAATTCTCTCTCGAATACCTTCTCCTTCCGATCCAAGCATTAGTCTTCTCACGGCTCTCTCGATTTCTCTTCTCTCTATGCGACCTTCCAAATGAATCCCGATCCTCCAGACATCGCTGACGAATCTCGCGTTTAGCATTTGGTCCCACGCAAAAGGCAAGCTGATCATAGGAACCCCTTCGCATATACTCTCTACCGTCGAGTTCCATCCATTGTGTGTCAAAAACCCTCCAATGGCTCGATGCGCAAGAACCTCCTTTTGTGGGGCCCATTTCACTATCTTTCCCTTCTCGTCAAGACTTTCAATAAACCCTTGTGGTAAAGATTCGATCCAATCTCTGCCGTGGACTGAACCAGGCCGGACAACCCAAAGAAAGGATAGGTTGGTGTTGCTTAGTCCACAAGCAATCTCCAATAATTCAGACTCGCTGATGGTCACAATGCTGCCTAAGCTCACGTAGGTTACTGATCTCGTTTCACGCTTATCTAACCATGGAATGCAACTCTGGTCCGGTTCGAACAAGCTGCTAGACGAGGCTTGCACGTCATGGATGTGAGATGGGCCGATGGGGAATATCGGAAAGGTGAAGACTTCGTTGGACTCTGCAAGTGAATCTCGGTCAAGCTCTTCGCAGGACATGACTATGATCCCTGAAGCTCGCTTCGTCGTCTCGAGTATCTTTTGCAAGTAAGAATCGAGTAGCTCGCTTTGACGGCTGTTTCTCATAATTCGCGAAAGATCTTTCTTTCGAAGCGGCGGAAAGACCGGAACTAGATCCTCTGCTTCAGAATCTGAAAAAAAAAACTACGAAAGTTCAAGAATCTTGTTTGATTCTTTGGAGGATAGTAAAAGCGTGATTTTCAGATTACTTTAGAGCAAGCTTATTGCGATTTCACAAATCGTGTATTCAAATCATTCAATGGAGAAGAATTTGACTTTGTGATAGCTCAACTCTGTTTGAGTTGTTTCGCTGATAGTCTCAGATTCCAATATGAATAACGATATGAGTCGAAGCGGTCGTACCTGGAAATGGAAGAAACCCTTCACGGCGAAGCTGAGGAACAAGCAAATGACCTAGAAAGAATGTGAATTTATATGTGCAGAGGACAAATCTTGGAAGATTAAAACTCTCCGCCACGGATTGTGTGAAGAGCCAATTAGAATCATCGATCAAACAGCTTGTCCTCTGTTTTTCTTCCTCTGTTTCTGACTCTGCAAACAGTTTAGTCAAACACTCACGGAACGGAGACTCACATCTTTGGTTGAGAAGCGTTATGAGAAGTGTGACATCGCGAGTTCTTGTCTCTGCTTCAGACAAGCCATCTGGGATTTGTAAGAAGGTGAAGAGAGGGTGGCTTGAAGCTTTTGGCGCGTTGAAGCGCGTGTGGATCACAGTGATGGAGAAACCTCTCGAGTGGAGGATCTTTGCTAGCTGAATCATAGGGTTTATGCAGCCTTGTAATGGTAATGGAAACAGAATTACTCGTCGGCCATTAGTCTTCTCCATTGAAGCTTCTCTTTTTCCTTTTTTCCCCGGTGAATGCTACTAATTAGTATTTTCCTTTTGAGAGAAGACTTTTTAAATCCTGAGCAGGTGCAACTTGGCGGTGAATATGCATGATTTTAAGGCAACCACGTGTATACCTTAGGAAAACAGTTTGTCGGTTTTAGCAGTAATCTATATTAAACTTAAACTTTTTTCGAGTAAGCTGATTGACCCACACCATACATGTTAATTTTTAATTTTTATTTTGGTGTAACTTTTACATAATAATTGATAGAGTATATAATATTATAATTGTTAATCATTATTTTTGGTTTTTATTTTGATTTTGTCTTACGGAAGAACAATCGGACAAAGAGGCAGACTTAAACAAAATAAACAATGTTCACGCTCTAGATGTTATTATCAGCACAATTAAACGAATAGCACTCTATTCATGCATGTGCTGTGATTTTAAATTGAAACAATATATAATCTTTAATTTCTATTTAGGTAATTATGTCATATTGTCATCATGATTTTGGTTTGGCAAAGCTACGATTCTATCATCAAAACTAAAGATATAGTTGGAGTTGTTGCTTTAATTTTCATGCAAATGTGTGTTACATTTGATATCAGTATAAATATATATTTATAACTTTTACCAAAAAAAAATATATCAAACAGAAGAAGCAGGGAGTATGCAAAGATTTTCCAAAATTAAGAATTTGAGTGTAGGAAAAATGGTTAATTAAACCATTTGCTGATTTTTGTCTGAAAAACTATATGTCAGGAGAAGAAATTTCATTCCAACAAGATCAAACGCAAAGGAAGAATATCCAGGAAACACTTAACAATTTATCGGTTGAAAATATTAAATACGCAAAGAAACCAAACTACAGGTATATATATACAAGCTAGAAAGATGATATATGATCAACCAAATGACCTAAAGATCGATATGCCGAACCGTTTTCTTTAACCGATCTTCCTACTTTCTCCTTAAGAAGCTCCATCCTCTCTCGGATTGCTTCTCCTTCAGTTTCCAACAACAATCTCCTTATCGCTCTCTCGATCTCATTTCTCTCGACCCGACCCTCTAGATGGAGCCCGACCATCCATATCTCACAGACGAATCTTGCATTTAGCATTTGGTCCCAGAAATATGGCAAACAGATCATAGGAACGCCTTCACAAACACTCTCAACCGTCGAGTTCCAACCACTGTGTGTCAAGAATCCTCCGATGGCTCGATGCTTTAGAACTTCTTGTTGCGGGGCCCATTCCACAATCTTTCCCTTCTCGTTGAGCCTTCTCATGATTTCTTCAGGGATCAATTTTGCGCCATTGACCGAGTCAACCACCCGTATGACCCACAAGAATGGTTGGTTGCTGTTTCTTAGACCCCAAGAAATCTCCAATAGCTCTGATTCGCTGATGGTCACGAGGCTCCCGAAACTCACATAAATCACGGATTTGTCTTCTTGCTTGTTCAACCATGGAATGCAAGTCTCGTCTGGTGTTAGCAAGCTGCTAGACGAAGCCGGAAATTGGTTATGAGAAGGTCCTATCGCATAGATTGGGACTTGAAACTCTTGGCGCGTCTGAGTCAGCGAGTCTTGGTCCAACTCTTCACAGGACATGAATATGAGACCTGAAGATGCCTTTACCGTTTCGTAAATCTTACCCAAGTATGGATCTAGTATCTCAGTTTCCACATCAAGAAACCGGGAAATATCTTTCTTTCGTAGCGGCGGGAACTCGGGAGCTAGATCTTCTTTTTCTGAATCTTTAGAATTGTTGATTTCATAAGGATCGGGCCACGAAAGTCATTTCAACAATATAGGAAAATATTGGTAACCAAATAAAGACGGTTTATGGTAAAGTATTGTAGTACCTTGTAACTGACGGTATCTTCCATGACGGAGCTGAGGAAGAACAAAATGGCCTCGAAAGAAGGAGGGTTTAGTCGGATTAAGTGCCAATCTCGGGAGATTCAAACTTTTGGCGAGGGGTTGTGTGAAGATCCATCCAGAATCATCGATCAAACAGCTAATCCTCTGTTTCTCTTCCCCTGTTTCTGAATCTGCAGATTGCAACAGTTTAGTCAAACAGTAACGAAACGGAGACTCGCATCTTTGGTTGAGAAGCAATATGAGAAGTGTGATATCGGGAGTTCTTGTCTCTGCTTCGGACAAGCCATCTGGGATCTGCAAGAAGGTGAAGAGAGGATGGCTTGAAGCTCTTGGCGCGTTGAAGCGCGTGTGGATCACTGTGATGGAGAAACCTCTCGAGTGGAGGATCTTGGCGAGCTGGATCATTGGGTTGATGCAGCCTTGTATTGGAAGTGGAAACAGAATCACCCGTAGGCCATTACTCTTCTCCATTTTGTTTTTTTTTTTTTTTTGCTTTTTTCAATCCCAATTCTAATCTCAGTGAATGCTAATATATATCATTTCCCTTAAAAGAAAATAAAAAATATTACCCCTCTAAAGAATTCAAGGTGTTCATATCAAGTTTGGCAATATATCATTTTTCTTCTGAGATAGGATATCTATATAACTTAACAAACTAATATATTATCATCATGTCGACATTGGAGGAGACAATACTCTAATCTTCTCTGGATGTGATATTAAAGAAAGACCAGATCCTTTTTGCCCTCTCCGGTAATGTGAAAGACGTAATTAGTGGTCTAATTATATGTCATTTTAGTTAATGGGGGAATCTATAGTAAAGAAAGACCAGATCTACTTGAACGTTGCAGGATAAATAAAAGAGTTAATTAGGTAACTGATAAGAAAAGAAGAATTAGTTACGTAAATTATACAGTTGCTAGAGTAAACATGAGTGGAAATATAACACATTATTTTATTTTATTTTTGTACTTTAAAAATTTATATTTTTGGCGTACACACTGAATATACAGAACTTCAAAATTAATATTAATATTACGAAAATAGATGTTTACATAAGAAATACTACCTCCGTTTCACAAAGAGTGTCGTTCTGACATTTTTCACACAAATTAAGAAATAAGATAAAAGGTCTCTTATACCCTTATTAATTTGCAAAAATGACTTTTGGAATTATATTTATAACTAATTTTCTGAATTTATTTTTGAGGTTAAAAATGGTATTTTATGTCAAAATTTACATTGGAATTCTAAAACGACATTCTTTTTAAAATAAAAAAAAGTGTTAGAACGACACTCTTTGTGAAAAATGATATTTTTTTTGAAATAAAAAAAAAGTGTCAGAACGACACTCTTTGTGAAACGGATGAGTAGATGTCTACATAAAGCAATAATAAGTTATGGGAAAATTTACGCTTTTTATAACGCACACTTTATTATGTAAGTAAACCGTATAAATCTATGTGATAAATTAGATGTGTGAGAAATTACCTTTCTTGTAACAATTATATAAAAAAGGTAAAATCATCCAAATGAATGCTTTTTTATCTTGTATAATTGTTACAACACTTTTTATATAAAGTGCTTTAGACCTCACTTTTGGCCTGGACAAAAAATGTCTAGTTACTTACTAAATTGCTATTCAGATTTGTGTCTTTCTCAAATAAAATAAAAATGGTTTTTTTTGGCATATACAAACAGAGAGTTGTAGAGATGAATTTTGCGAAACATAAAGTTTACAAGAAATTATCAGATTTTAAGTAATTGTTCAATTTCATAAAATTCCAACAATGCCAAACACAAAGGAAGAATTCCCGGAACACACAAACAATATCTCGGTTGAACAATTGACACAAAGAAACAACAAGACATATAGCTAGAAAGATGAGATATGATCAACCAAATGTCCTAGAGATCGATATGCCGAACCGTTTTGTTTAACTGATCTTCCTACTTTCTCCTTAAGAAGCTCCATCCTCTTTCGGATTGCTTCTCCTTCAGTTTCCAACAACAATCTCTTTATCGCTCTCTCGATCTCATTTCTCTCAATCCGACCCTCTAGATGCAACCCGACCATCCATACGTCACTGACGAATCTTGCATTTAACAACTGATCCCACACAAAAGGCGAACATATCATAGGGACGCCTTCACAAACACTCTCAACCGTCGAGTTCCAACCATTGTGTGTTAAGAATCCTCCAATGGCTCGATGTTTTAAAACGTCTTGTTGTGCAGCCCATTTCACTATCTTTCCCTTCTTGTTAAGCCTATCGATGGTCTCTTCCGGGATTGCTTCAAGCCATTTTGTGCCATGGACCGAACCAACCCGTACGACCCACAAGAAGGGTTGGTCACTGTTTCTTATACCCCAAGCAATCTCCAAAAATTCTTGTTTGCTGATGGTTGCAACGCTCCCAAAACTCACATAAATCACGGATTTGTCTTCTTGCGTGTCCAACCATGGAATGCAAGTCTCGTCTGGTGTGAACAAGCTACTAGACGAGCCAGGGAAGTAACTATGAGAAGGTCCTATCGCAAAGATCGGGACTTTAAAGTCTTGACGTGCTTGATTCAGTGACTCTTGGTCCAGCTCTTCACAGGACGACACGAATATAATACCTGAAGACGCTTTCGTCGTTTCCAAAATCATATCCGAGTACGAGTCTAATACCTCTGTTTCTGCATCGAGAATCCGTATAAGATCTTTCTTTCGAAGCGGCAGAAACTCCTCTACTGGATCATCTTGTTCTAAATAGTTGATAGAACCTTAAAATATTGATGTAAATTCAAAAAGATAGTTAAGATAAATAAATGTTTTCATATGAAACTTATAGATAACTACAACAACATAGAAACATATTCGAAATCACATAAGACACCTTTTGGTGAATACCTTGTAATGGAAGATTCATTTCACGCCGGATCTGGGGAAGAACAAAATGGTCCCGAAAGAAGGAGACTTTATAGGTACTAAGGACCAATCTCGGGAGATTCAAACTCTGAGCGAAGGGTTGTGTGAAGATCCATCCAGAATCGTCGATCAAACAGCTAATCCTCTGTTTTTTTTCCTCTGTTTCTGAATCTGCTATTTGCAACAATTTAGTCAAACAGTCACGAAACGGAGACTCACAGCTTCGGTTGAGAAGCGTAAGGAGAAGTGTGACATCGTGAGTTCTGGTCTCTGCTTCAGACAAGCCATCTGGGATCTGCAAGAAGGTGAAGAGAGGGTGGCTTGAAGCTTTTGGTGCGTTGAAGCGCGTGTGGATCACAGTGATGGAGAAACCTCTCGAGTGGAGTATCTTGGCGAGCTGAATCATGGGGTTAATGCAACCTTGTAATGGTAGTGGAAACAGAATCACTCGTCGGACATTACTCTTCTCCATTGAAGCTTTCTCCTTCTGCTTTCAATCCAAATGCAAATCTCCTGATATTAAGGCTACTTGATACGAGAAATATATTTTTTGTTAGGTGGAGAGTGGAGACAAAACTCTGCTCTTCTCGATGTACTAATAATTTAATAAGAACGAGCAGATTAGGAAAAGAAAGACAAAACAAAAACAAAAAACTAATAGTGGTCTAATTTTTAAAACTAATAGAAGGACCTGTCTGTTGTACATTTGATGAACATTCGCAGTATATAGCTTTTATACAATGTAAGTAAAATGTTCTTAACATCAATACGCTATTTTCACAATCAAAACAATGTTGAGGATGTTTTGTATTTTAGGTTTACTTTCAACGAAATCGAAGAAATATAATCGAATTTGTTTTGCGTTTTAGAGAAACGTTGAGGGATATTTCCCAATGTTACAACGATAGTATATGATTAGCTAGGGTTTCTATAGATCGAAAAGACGAGCCTCCATGCTTAACCGATCTCCCAACCTCTTCTTTCAAAACTTTCATTCTCTCACGAATCCTTTCTCCTTCACTTTCCACCATTAATATCCTCACAGCTTTCTCGATCTCCTTTCTCTCGATCCGACCCTCCAAGTGAATTCCGACCCTCCAAACATCGCTCACGAATCTTGAATTCAGCATCTGATCCCAACCTCCAGGTAAACAGATCATAGGAACCCCTTCGCATATACTCTCTAGCGTCGAGTTCCAACCATTGTGTGTCAAAAACCCTCCAATGGCTCGATGCGCAAGAACCTCCTGTTGCGGAGCCCATTTCACTATCTTTCCCTTCTCTTCGAGACTTCTCACGAGCCCTTCAGAGAGCGGTTCGATCCACTGTGCGCCTAAGACCAAACCGGGTCGCACCACCCACAAGAAAGGCTGTTTGCTATTGCTTAAACCACAAGCAATCTCCAAAAACTCTGATTCCGTTATGTTCACAACGCTTCCTAGACTCACGTAGATGACGGATTTATCTTCTTGTTTATCTAACCAAGGAATGCAGGTCTCGTCTTGTGTGAACAAACTGCTTGACGAAGCAGAGAAGTAGCTGTGAAACGGACCAATCGCAAAGATCGGAACCTTGAAAATTTCGTTAGCAAGAGCCAACGAATCTTTCTCCAGCTCTTCGCAGGACATGAATATTATCCCTGAAGATCTCATCGTCGTATCTACTATAGCATGTACGAATGGATCGAGTTTCTCTCCGTTTTCCCCGAAAACTCTTGAAAGATCTCTCTTTTGAAGCGGCGGGAACTCAAGAACAGAGTCCCCTGCTTTCGAATCTAAGTCACAAAGGTTAAAAAAAACATCTTAAAATTATTCATACCCACAATTGAAAACAAACGCCTTTAAAACCGGATGTTTTATTCGGTGGTGGGTTTGCGAAAACCTCCGTGACTATTTAGCAATTCCGGTCCTAAATCCTAAATTTTTAAAAGAAAAGAAACGATTTTTACAGAGGATTACCTGAATCTGGAAGATATCCTTGGGTTCGGAGAAGGGGAAGAATTGGATAAGCATTCAAGAAAGTGGCTTTAAAGGTACAGAGAACAATCCTCGGAAGATTTAAACTCTCTGCGACAGATTGTGTGAAGAGCCATCCACAATCATCGATCAAACAGCTAATCCTCTCCGATTCTTGCGATTGCAGCAACAGGTTTTGTAAGCAATCACGAAACGGGGACTCGGCGTTGCGGTTGATTTGCGCGAGCAGAGACATAACGTTAGAAGTAGGATCGTCGTTGATCTGGGTTTCAGACAAGCCATCTGGAATCTGTAAGAAGGTGAAGAGAGGGTGGCTTGAAGATCTTGGCGCGTTGAAGCGCGTGTGTATCACAGTGATGGAGAAACCTCTCGAGTGAAGGATGTTGGCGAGCTGAAGCATAGGGTTTATGCAGCCTTGCAGTGGCAGAGGGAAGAGAATCACTCGCAGACCATTTCTCTTCTCCATTGAAATTGAAGAAGCTCTACTTTTTTTTTCTTTTTTTGTAAGAAAAAGCTCTTCCTTTTGGGTTTTCTTTTCTAAAAAGACCGAACTTCTATGTACTTTTTATCCAATCGTTTGTTTATTCAGATATGGAGAATCTAGAATGAAGACAAAACCTTTATGGTTATGTGTGTGTTTGGTTTAAACCCATTCAACTTTCCACCCGTTTTGATGACCTTTTGGATTTTTGATACTCCTGTGTGGTCGCTATCAGAGATTTTGAGATTTGAACATATATTAAAGACTTTAACCCACAACAAATCCACAAGAAAAATCATTAATTTAATCCTTTAAATTCAAATCTAAAAATCACAAACATTCATGGTCTTAGTTAAAAACTACTGTTTTAAAAAAATTACTTTTAAAAGAAAATCAAAGAGTGTGAGGTAGGATTTAGAACTTTTTCAATGTCGGCCATACATCTATGCATCAATTTTAAAACTCTAGTTAGCATTTTTTTTGGTTACGTAATAATAAAATGATTATGTTTGTGGTTAATGTTTCGGTGGAATTCAAATTAAATTAGTATGGATTTTTTTTTGTAAAAAGTGTTATACATTTGATTATTTTCTTTTTTTGTGATTGATTATTATATTGAAAAAGTGATTTATTTCTTATTTGCAATTTTCCCTCGTTTATGAATCAACATCAAAACAATTTGACACTTGTCATCATGTGTTAATACATATGCAGATATTATTATGGATGTTTGACTTGGCAATGGTGATGCAAATAATTCGGAAGCAAATGAGAGACAAACTTCAATTCCTCCTTTCGCTACTTTCATGCCCAATGCAATAATCCCTTCTTCATCAGCTTCCCCAAGTTCCCAAATTCTCTCAAGCTCTTAACAATGGCGACAGAGCTCAACCCCAAGAATTTCCCTGTTCTCTCTTACGTCTTGGATCGTCTCCCTTCCTTCACCGCCAGATCCTCTTCCGATGGCGATCGACCACCGTCAGCTTCCTCCACCAAATCCGATCCATCTTCATCTTCAAACCACTCGATCGAGATCGTGTCGCAGATGCCTCACTTGGCCCATCCCGATGTCCTCGCCTCCATGACCAACGCAATCGCCGACGTCGCTCAGACCCGATCCGTTCTTCGAACCCTAGGACCCAGACCCGATCACGAGACCGTCGACAAAGCCCGTTCCAGGCTCTCCGAGATCGACGCTTCGTTATCGGAATCGTTCGAGGAGATCGCTCTCTCTCCGAACGACATCGACGTGGCGGAGAAAGAGCAGAAGAGGAGGGAAGCTGTGGATCAAGAGAAGACTTGGTATAACTCGATCCTCAAGCTTAACGAGCTTCACGAATCGTACGAGAAGCTTTTGAAAGAAGCAGAGGAGAGGCTCGTGAGGATCTACGAGTCCGCCGAGAAGAACGCGGCGGCTGTGGCGGAGGATGAAGCTAAGGAGGTTGAAGTCAATGAAGAGGTTGTGAGTATATTGCAGCAAGCTTCCGCGAATCCAATTGATCGTGTTGATTTGTCTGGTCGGAAACTCAAATTACTACCTGAAGCTTTTGGTCGGATTCAAGGTCTCCTTGTCCTTAACCTCTACAACAATCAGCTCGAGGTCAGTTTTTTCTAATCCTAATCTCTGATCATATAAAATCTGTTAGGATTCTGATATGTTCATGTGTCAAAAGATGCAAACTTTGTTCCGAAATGTTGAGTCTTTACTGCATTGTGATGATGTCTAGATGGATACCATTGAGATATGTATATCCAGAAGTGTTTTTACTTGTCTTGATTAAAGGTTATGTTGGTAACAGGCCATTCCTGATTCGATTGCTGGATTGCACAGCCTTCTTGAACTTGATTTGTCCACGAATTTTCTGGAGACATTACCGGATTCCATTGGTTTATTGTCCAAACTAAAGATATTGAATGTCTCTTGTAACAAACTCACAGCTTTACCAGATTCCATCTGCCATTGTGGGTAAGTGTAATTCTTCAAAGTTTGTTTCTTTAAGCTCTCTGTTTTCTTTCTTACGTCTTTCGATTTCCAGATCATTGATTGTCTTGGATGCGAGCTACAACAATCTCACCTACTTACCAACCAACATAGGATTCGAGCTAGTGAATCTAGAGAAGCTCTTGATCCATCTTAACAAAATCAGATCCTTACCAACTTCCATTGGCGAAATGAGATCCTTACGCTACCTCGACGCACACTTCAACGAACTCAACGGTCTCCCAAATTCTTTTGGGTTGCTCACAAACCTCGAGTACCTTAACCTGAGCAGTAACTTCAGCGATCTCCAAGATCTCCCTGCTTCATTCGGCGATCTCATAAGCCTACAAGAACTCGACTTGAGCAACAACCAGATCCATTCTCTTCCAGACGCTTTTGGCACGCTCGTGAACCTATCCAAATTGAATTTGGATCAGAACCCGCTTGTGGTGCCTCCCGAGGAAGTCGTGAAACAAGGCGTGGATGCGGTTAAGATGTATATGGGTAAGAGGTGGGTCAGTATGTTAGAAGAGGAAGAGAAGATGGCTAACATGAAGGATGAGATGGATCAGACAAACACCGATTGGCTCACTCGAACCACCTCGAAGCTGAAAACATATGTGACCGAGGTCTCGGAGTATCTTGGCTCAAATTCACCAAAAGATCCTTTCCTTGACCAGCAGCTATGAACTGAGAATATTAGCTTCATTTACCATTTTTTCTGATGATGTCTGAAGAATCAGTATCCAAAGAAATCATCCCATCAGTTTTGAGTTTTCTTTCCGATGCTGCTCTGTTTCGGTATATAGATTTTTGATCTTCATTTGTTTCTGAATTTTGTTTTAATAAAATTTTATTGGTATCTTTCTCATAACATTTAATTTGTGGTTGTAATGTAATCATCTACTTTTCTACTTTGTAGATTCTAATACCATTTCAGCTCAAGATTGTTATCAAAAGAGCATAATGTTTTGCAAAGAAAGAAAACACAGAAAATGGCAACTAGCAGAGAATATGAGTGAAATGACCAAGCTAAGTTATTATTATTATTATTATGCATGAAGACAAGGACAAGTTTCAGACAAAGGAGAAATCTCATAACATATAAAGTCATATAATAATAGAGCATTGCAGAATTCAACAAAGAGAAAGAGAATTGCCACGATCATCTCATTCTTTGCGCTTGATCACGAGCATCTTCTTCTTTTTAAAAGCTTTGCGATTGATCACAAAGAGTCGCATCATCTTTGAACTTGCTTGGAAGTTCTTCTTAGGAGGAATGCTGAGTCAAAGTGAAAAACATGAAAACTTAATTAGCCAACAACAATCCATAGCTTAAACAACAACAACAACAAGAACCCATAAATTAAGCAAAATAAATGAAAACGAATGAAAGGAGTAAATACCTAGCAGACGGCTTAGTAGCAGCAGACGCCAACTCTTGCTGTTGTATATATAAATTGTTGTAAGAATCGATTATTATTGAAAGAAGATAATTTTCAATTGCAAAGGTATGAAAGAAAAAGAACCTTAAGTTCTTCAAGCATAGCCTGTTCACGCTCATACCATCCCTCCAACGGCGTCAGAAAACGCAGCCCTGGTTCGAATCTAGCCTCCTCGGAGGACAATAACGTGGACAATAACGTGGACCAGAACAGGAATGCATCTCATAAGGTCTAGGATTACCACGATTAGCTAGGAATCTATAGTTGTGGTGAAGTCTCCCCATAATTGCTGTGCCTCCTCTGAATACAACTTAATTTTGGGAATGTCGAAACCCTAGCTACGTATTTATATATATATATATATACAAGTATGTGGGCATGATGGGTTTTTCAACTCGGCCCATATTATTATGCCCAAAATTGCTTACAGGTGGTGATGGTTGGAAAAGACCACAAACAAAGGAAGAAGATGCTTCGTCTGGTTTGAACATCTAAAAAAAGATGAGATTCATGGGGGTGGGTGCTTGGTGCTTAAAGACAGAAGTGGACGATGCTGCAAATACGACGACATCGAACCTGCTGAAAAGGATTTTATTTTTATAACAACAATGAGCGTGGGGACGCAAATCTGTTTCAGAAAGATTTGGGGAAAAAAGAATATGGAAACTGAATGAGATGATGCTGCTGCTCGGGGTTTTAGTGACAAAAAAAAAAAAAGAACCCGGAAACTGAATCAGCTCCTGATGCATGAGGTTCTTAGAGCTCGGAAACGGAATCAGGTGATGCCGATTGGGGTTCCCGGAGAAAAAAAAAAGGAGCTTGGAAACGGAATCAGGTGGTGCCGATTGGGGTCATAGAGATTAGGGATAAATCTAAAATTGAAACTGAAACAGGTCCTGTTTCTTGGGGCTACTAATTTGGGTTTGAAGGACTAACGGAAACTGGATCGGGCTCTGAAACTAACCCCAAATCCTGCTGCTTGGGGACAGCCTAGTGCCACTGCTTCAGACAAGGATTCTAATGGCCGGATGATGAAAATCCGAGGAATAGCAGACAAAGAGAGAAAGATGAGAATGAGACAAGCCAACCAAGAGATATCCATCTGCTGGCTCACATGGTAGCTTGTCCGATGGTGGGGGTTTAGACTGGAAGAAGAATAGTCTTCCTAGGAGCCCTGGGTCTGAGGTGAATTTGGCTCCCATGTTTACAGCAAGAAGACAGCGCTTGGACATGTTCACCGCCTCTGAGGACCAATAGCTTCTCTCAGATGTCGAGCCAGTCATGAGGATGAGACTCAGGATAATATAATGCCTCAGTCCGGGTATGCCTTTCTACTTCTTAAGCTCAGTCTATCCAATTTCCAGTTCTAAATATAATTTTTATGCAGTTACAAATTCCGTATATATATATATATATATATATATATATATATATGTTAGGCTTCACCTTTGTAAAACTGTTTTGTTTCGATGAAGATATACTGATCTCGGATGATGACAAGACAATTTTTCCTTGAACCTCCATGATCCAGACAAAAGACTCTAAGCTTGGTTCCGGTGTTGAGATTTTTCCATCACGGTAATTAAATAGCATGACAAATATAGAGCATCTCCTTCTTGTGTGCTTGCAGGTATCTTTTTAGCTTTTCATTTCTTGCCTCTTTGCTTCGGAATTAACTTTGATCTGCTTACTCTGGAAATTGGTTCTCAGGGATCATCTCAATCTGGCATTGTGCTTTCTCAGTCTGGAAATTGCTATCCATAGCGTTGAGATGCAGGTATACCGCTGAAACAGGTATGTCTCGACCTTTCCTTGAAACATGCAGCAAACGAATAACAGCTTTGATGAATCAATTAAAACATCTCCACCCAGCAAACGAATAACAGCTCTGAATAACCAATTAAAACATCTCCATGAACCAATTAAAACATGCAGCAAACGAATAACAGCTCTGAATAAACTGGTACAATAACAATCTCCATATTTTTCTCACATCCAGAATTTGGTTTCAGTTAATTCTCACATTCAGATTTTGGTTTCAATTTTTCTTCCGGAGTCTTTTGCTCATTAGCGATTTTCTGGCTGCGGTTACAGTTTTACAAGCTATTGGTGCTTTTCCGGCTCTTGCAACAAACTTATAAAATAACATTTATCTTTTTTGAATCACAATTTACTATTCACTTAATTATCTCTTCAACCTGGAGATTCCTTTCTCATCTCGTTAAGCAAACAGGTAAGTAATGTTCTTGGAACGTTATGCTCTCTTTATGTGTCTATCTTATGATTGATATCTATATATTCTCTTCAGAAATGGACGTATCCGAAACTGTGGGTAGGATTTTTGAAATGGTGCAGAGTCAAAACAGCTCAACTGTTTCTTGATTATAGCGGTTTTGAGAACACAGTCTATAATCCTTGTTTAATTCAATTGTTTCTTCCACAACTGCCTGCAAGAAAGAAAGAAAACGTTTGTTTATCGCTGAAATTACTTTTTGTCCAGCTGGATTATGCATTGAATAAAATCTCAGCTTAGGAGCTCCTCTAACCGGAATGATTTGGACTTCAAAGAGAAGAACAGATTCAGAAACTCAGTCTGCCTCTACTTGTTGCCAGTCGGAGAAGAACAGTGCATCATTTCAGGAAGAAGGTTAAACTGTGTATTTCATCATATTTCTTAGAAGATTTTATTTCAAAAATGAAGTTTGTAGATTTAAATTAAACTCAAGACATTAGCTATTGTAATTTGTTGTGTTCTACTTTTTTTATCAAGACTAATAGAAAAATGCGATTCCACCGATAAGAAATTTTTCAAATTTTGTTTACTGTATCCAAATCCAAGCTGCCTAAGGCCTAATTGTTTACTGTATACAATAATGTTGTTTGATATATGGGTTGATGAAATTCTAATTGTGTTTCATCAAATCCAATTAGGCTTAGTGGAATGAGATAATAAACAAGAGAGCTCGAAGAAAAGAAAAGTGTTCGTGTTTCACTTCTTTAGTGAGTTTTGGGCTTTAAACTTCCTTTTTAACTGTAGCGCCTGAGATGACAAAACGACACGACGCACCTAAAAACATCAAAACAACATCTAGAACCGACAAAAGACAACACCATCAGAAAAACGACGTCTCAAAAGTGCTTAAAGACAATCCACATAACTTGAAAGGTGCTTATAGTGTACCGAGGCCTTAGTTGGTAGTTTTTCTCTTTGAAAAAGTGCTTATAGTTTTTCACATGCTTCTCTCTTTGAGAACAGGGTGAAATCGCATCTTCGAACTTAAAGCCAACCACTTAAACTTCCGCACATGAGCTTTCTTAGACTTGGAACCCCAAATACACATCGTCAGTCTACGGCAACTTGCTCTGCTAAAGTACGCCTTGAACCACTTCAAAAGATCTTCCTTATTGATCAATTCTAGTTCCTTTCTTTCTTGACTGTAGAAATCTACTACGTAACTGAGAAACACATATAAGGAAAAAAACAAATTATTTTGATATTTCCAGTTACATCTAAAATGATCAACTAATATCCATTATATGCAATATTACTTAGACAAACGAATGCACTAACCTTTTGTTAAGGATCTCATCCCACATAGATTTCCCAGTGTCATCTGGTAAAGTAGACAACAAACCACGTTTGTAGACTTCAATCGCTGGGACAGAAATTGTTTCCTACAAATGTATGAACAAGTAAATGGATGATCCAAGCTTAAAGAAAACTAGATAGTAATTGTCTTTCTATCTATAGGCTTACCAGCGACTCCCCAAAATCATCACTACGCCGTCTTTTGGGTTTGCACAATATAGATAATTAAACCGAATGACGGTTATATGTGTAATTCTATTTTTTTGAATGTATACCGGCGTGGCACTTAAATAGATAATATATTATATTTATATACGAATACGATGCAAAAGACGCATATTGTAGAGTGTAGATAGACAACGACAAGGACTCAAGGAGATTTATATTATTGTATAATTTGTATATACAGTTTTGTTTCTCTCTGATACCATTTTACCTACAAGAAAAAATGTATCTCATTTTCCTTGATTAGTCAAAATTTTCAATTGAGATTGGTTTGCCTCACCAAGGCAAACCAGAAACCTTAAACCAAAGAAAAAGAATTAAACCGATTTTTAGTAATACCCATGCACATGAAAATTAAAATTTAAAGAGAGAAACAAGACTGTATACAATAATAATATTTGATTTGATATTCCTGGAAGAATAAAAATAGAAATATAGATGAACGTGCAATACACACAGTCTAACAAACAAATTCACCCTATATTGCTCGTCTATAGTCTAACTTTATGATATCTTTGTCATCGATCGATATCGGGGATAATGGTAGTGATTTTCGTTTTGTGGGAAATTCTTACATTTAAAAAAGAAGACTTAGATGAAAAGATTTTCCCCAATAAAGTGGGAGGTGCATCTACGTTCTACATCAAACGTGTTCCTCCCATTAGTCGTTAATAAATTCGGTTCACATATAATGACTTCCCGTTCTGCATGCCACTAATTGATACATCACGATTCACAACTAGTCAATCAAGGTCTATTTCATCAATTTCTTATAAGGTTCAAATTTTTGCATGAATAAATTACAAAAACAGAGTTAATTGTTTGCCGATAGGGTCGATAATTTAGGATATAAAAATATTAGTTAGAGACTAAATAGTTTGTAAACAAATCGCTAACTTTTCTTTCATATTTCTAGAAGGTCACTTAACTTTTATTTTTTCCTGTTTGGCTAAGTCCATTTGATCGGAAATTATATTAAACTTTGTTTTTTATTTCATAGCGATTTAGACTTTTCTCCTGATTTGTTATGTCCAAAATCCAACTTCGTGTTTTTCGATTGAGCGACAATTTTGTTAAATTGTAATTCAACTTATCAAGAGTCAAGACAGAATACATTTTGATGCACCCGTGCTATGAACCTACATATAATATATTTGTTTTTAAATATTTTTTGTTTGTTTAATCATGACTATTTTAATTGATTACGACTTGAGGAAACGGAATTCACAAAATTGCCAAAAGCCAGTGTATTTGTTGGATTCATGATGATCATTTTGGTACACGATTAATCGGTTTCATAATCTAACGTTCCGATCTTTAGAGATCATACACCCAAGTACCCAACCGAACCTAAGAGATATGGTCATATATAAGAGATATGGTCATATATAAGAGATATGGTCATATATATGATTTCTAAGAAAGGACCATATTCAATTATGTTAAAGGTTGATATGGTCATAATTAATTTTATCAGCAATTAGAAATTTTTATTAGTAAAACGAAATAGATATTGCACTTGAGCATATCTTGATCCCATGTCTTGTGTATATAACTAAATATATAATAAATAGGCGTAAGCAGAGTGAGAGAGCGTGCAGACACGACAAAACAAAAGGCCTCCCCACGTTCCGGTCGGTTGGTGACAACGACTAATGTTTTCGTTTCTCTGATTTTCAATCTCTCTCAAGTTTTCATCGGAGATATATAGACTTTTTGTCTTCACTCAGCTTAATCTCTCTTCTTCTTCTTTTCAGAATCCATTTGTTTTGTGTTTCCCCAAAAAATGAGGAAACTTTGTCCGAACTACAACCTCGAAGACGGGTTAGAGACCGTCCTCGAGGTTCCCATGCCCGAGGAGTTGTTTTCTGCGTCCAAGACAAAACCGGGATGGAACCAAATGAAGTCTTACTGGTCAAAACCAACCGCGACTCATGCAACCGCAACCGCAACAAACATGACGAGACTATTTGGTGGTCGTAACGCCGAGATCCAGCTCCTTCTTGGAGTCGTTGGAGCTCCTTTGATCCCTCTCCCTGTTCTCCCTGACCACCACAACGATTACGAGAATCCTATCCACAAAGACATCAAAGACCAACCTCTCGTAAAATACATCTTCCTTACTCTGTTTTTACATTTTACATATATATATATATATGAGCATTAACTATACATCTTCCTTTCCAATATGGCAGGAGATGTCGATGGCGCAGTACATAGTAAAGCAGTACATAGCGGCCGTAGGAGGAGAAAAGGCGTTAAACGCGGTGGAGAGCATGTACGCTATGGGGAAAGTGAGGATGACTGCATCTGAGTTCTGCACAGGAGAAGGAAGCCTGAACAGCAAAATGGTGAAGGCAAGGAGTATCAAGAGTGGAGGAGGAGAAGTGGGAGGCTTTGTCTTGTGGCAAAAGGGAATAGAGCTATGGTGTCTTGAGCTAGTCGTCTCTGGCTGCAAAATTAGTGCCGGTAGTGATGCCAAAGTCGCTTGGAGACAAACTCCATGGCATCCTTCTCATGCCTCTCGTGGTCCTCCTAGACCTTTGCGCCGTTTCCTCCAGGTAATCCATTATTCCTTTAATATTTCCAATCGGTTTTAAACTTTTCAAGGAATCATATCTTTTAGGTGGTTTTTACCAATGATACTTTTCTACATTTTTTTTACAATTCTTTCCGTTTAAATATAAGTGTTGTTGAACTATATACCCTATTAAGAAAATTATTGACATATTCTATTTATACAGAAATTGATTTTTTTTATACAAAGTAAACAATTGGTTGAAGATAATTTTATAAAACTTCTGCATTGACATTTTCGTAAAATAAACGACACCCGACAACGTCTTTTTTGGTCAAGAATCCTAGAGCGTTATATCAAGAAATTTATGATGGAATTTGGATATGTTACGTGACAAATCAACATATTTGAATAATGATTATTATCATGTAGTAGAGAACTGCTATTTCCACGTCAACTATTTTTGTTTTTTAATTTGTTTTATTATATTTCTGTGAAAATATAGTTTTTTCTTACGGCGATATAGGCATTTTTATACAAACACTATAGGCTTTTAATGAAATGTTTGGAATAATATTATTTGGAAAATCAATGCGGATATTTTTCTTGTGGCTATACTACAATTCTAGTTTCTACTTGATTCATGAGAAGACAAAGATCCTTTATGTCTCATAAAGCATATGTATCCACTGATCATTATTATGACGCTGAATGATTGAGTGTTTCCACTTGGAGTTCAATGATACATTCTTCTTATATTCCACCCTGATTTTTATGATTCCTAGTTGTCAAAGTTTCCTTTTCCTTGATTGTTGGCAAAAAGATCTTTCAATCATCAAACTTTCTCTTGTTTTAACTCTTCATCTTTTCTTTTCCACATTTCTTTCTAAAAATAAATAAATATTTGTCTAGCTAACCTACCTTCAACGTTGTCAAATGATAGAATTTGTCATCCTGGTTTTGGTCATAGTATAATTCGTTGATTAGTTTGTATTTTGAGTTGGGAAAATTTTGACGCTCATATAATTTAAGAAAAACCTTTGATTTTATATCAAAAGTGAACTGATATTTTACAATGTAAACTTATGACTTCTGAGATTTGATGTGGCCATAACTAAAGTATGATGTGTCCCATAGAATTGCTCTTACTTTCTCATTTCAATGTGGAGAAAATCCTTACCAAGTTGGTTGGAACTTAGAAAAGTTACAACCATCTATGGTCCACCACTAACAACAACAACCAAAAATATATATATATATAGATTATCTCCCAAGTACATACATATTTTTTTATTACCTAAGTAGACTTTTTTCCCAAAATATCAAATAGTATCTATTTACAACCCAAGATCTTTGTATCCTCACCGTCACCGAACAGTGAATTAATTTTACTTATCGTTGACTTCCTTTCAAGTCTTTTTGTTTTTACTACTTTGAAAAGAGATGAATCATAACAAAAGTATCTGACATAAATTTCTGAAAAAAAAAAAAAAAAAACAGGGTCTTGATCCAAAATCAACGGCTAATCTATTCGCAAGATCAGTATGCATGGGAGAGAAGAAGATAAACGACGAAGACTGTTTCATACTCAAACTCGAAGCCGAGCCATCGACGCTTAAGGCGAGAAGCAGCAGCAATGTAGAGATCATACGGCACACTGTGTGGGGATGTTTCAGCCAGAGAACAGGTCTTTTGATCCAACTCGAAGACTCTCACCTTCTACGAATCAAAGCTCAAGACGAGAACAGTATATTCTGGGAGACAACTATGGAGTCTCTGATCCAAGATTACAGGATCATCGATGGGGTCCAGGTTGCACACGCTGGTAAAAGCTCGGTGTCTCTGTTTCGGTTTGGTGAGAACTCGGATAATCACTCGAGGACTCGGATGGAAGAGACTTGGGAGATTGAGGAGATGGATTTTAACATCAAAGGTTTGTCTATGGATTGTTTCTTACCTCCTTCTGATCTCAAGAAGGATGACGATGGAGAAGAAGAAGTCGAATGTGGGTTAGCTGCGAATAACGAGAAGCTGCCTATGAAGATCCGGAGCGCTTCTTTGAGGATTAGTTCATCTAAGATCCTAGCCATTGTCGAAGAAGAGGATGAATCAGAGGTAACTGAGGAGTTGCATGAGACGTAAGAATGTGGCCCAAGTTTCGGTTTTTGTACATACTTTAATCTATTGCAACACCGAAACATAAAACAGAGGAGTTTTTCTATTTTTGGTTTTATGGGTTCCTCTGTAAATCAATGGACTCTTGGGATGCAAATGCAATGTCAAGTGATCATATTTCTCAATATTTCTCATAATATAATGAGACGAGAGAAGAGACTTCACAACACTGCATTTGCATTAAGCTTTAGAGTGACTAGCGCTATATACATTATCCGCAACCACGAAACAAATTTACATTCACAAGACAGAAATAAAACCCCGCAAATCGCATTATGTTCTCTTCTAGGTCTTGGTCTTCCTCTCTAAACTTGATTAAACTTAAAAAGTGGGAACAAAGGCATTGGCACAAGAGGCAAGTACCTTAGAGAGATCTCTAATGGCGTTAAACCCTTTTCTTCATTTTTTTTTTATCTTCTGAATCTCTTCCTCTTATGGTGAGCTCTGTTTTGCTATGTGGAGGGAACATTGAAGTGGAATAGCCATGAGATCACAAAGGCAAAGACCATACAGGCTAAAAGGAAATTCAAGAACCGGTGACCTTGCCAGAAGCTTCTAGCTTCCACCAATCGTGGACCAGATGTTCTCAGAGCTTGATTCACTGTACCATTTGCTTCATTCCGGCTTTCCTCAGACTCTGCCTCAACAGTTCCAACAACATTACCCGCAATCGACCCACATACTTCACAGATTCTGCAGCAATCAAACCATTGAATCACATCACAACGAAAAAGTTAAAACCTTTGTCTCTCATCTGAAAACAAATGGCCTCAAGACTGGAACTTATCCAACAATCAATCAAAATCAAAAGTGTCCATTAACCCCTAAAGAAAGTACACTTTCTTAATTTATGGAAATCTAGCCACACTATCTTAAAGCTCAGATTTTTTTTTTGTCTTCCCCCTAGTGGAAGTCACAAAACATCGTTCTCAAGAGAAAGCTATCTAAATTTAGAAATGTTCAGACAATTTTGGTTACTAAATAAATTGGGAGGATTTTGCTCACTTGTTTCCTTTAATCTTGAACCAAGTCTCAGCACAGTGCTTGTGAGCAGCAGCGAGATCATCTTTGCAAGAACAGCCTAGCTCAATGGGAACACCAGATTCCAGATTCGCTGCATCCAAGCTCATGTGACAAATCCTGCAATCCTTGTCAGATTGCGACAAATGCACGGCTTTCTCAGGCAAACCGAGCTCCAGATCTACTTCCACCGAACACAAGGACGCATTGGATCTCCTCTCCTCATCCTTGACTATCTCTTCCTCCTCATCACCGGAGCTCCGACGAAGCTCTCCGTCGTCGGTGATGACCTCTTTTACTCCGTCTTCCTCGCCGTCACAGCCACTTGAGCCATGGATTGCTTTAACAGAGACAAGGGTGTTGAGATGTGGCTGTACGGATTCCATAATGGTAGAGACCCAGATCACGAATCCTCATGTAAATGACGGGTTTCTTGTATTTATGAAATTGAGACTTGAGATGAGAAGATCATCAATGATTTCCTCACCTGCTTGAAATTAAAAACGAAAGCAGAGAGAGAGAGAGATTTCTTGTTGAAACGTACTCTAAAATTACATGTTTGCCACTGAGATTTTGGAGTTTAGTGAGAAGAGTGATCGTCAATGTCGTCAGATTCTCTCTGGCTTCTAAGAAAAAATAAGGGAAATAACTTAACTTTGTCTTAAATCATCTCTCTCTTGCTTCACCTGCGTCCTGTGATATTATAATGAACAAGCAAATCGGGACACGAGACCGACCCCACCTCTAAAATCATTTATAATTTCGTCATTACCGTCACTCTTTAGTAAATGTTCGTTATTGATTAACTCTATAATTCGATAATTTCAATATTATTATACGGCTCGTTCTAATTTACTACAAAAGTACAAATATTATATTATTAAAGCGTTGGCAAACTTGTGATTAGTATATCGAAGAAAGATAAAAAGTATAAAACTGGATATCATAGTTAACTCGGAGAAATTTATCTTAGAAAAATATTTTGGCTACTTCTATTGTATACTTTTGGTTATGTGGGAAACTTTCCTTCCTAAAATGAATTACTATAAATTATATTTTCTAAAATTTAGTATCTTACTTAATAACCATTATGAATCCTTTAAAAGACAATATCGATCATTGATTTTTCCTTCTTATCATTAATTACTCAAATATATTTCTAGTGGCTTTTGACTAATTTTAGTTATTTGAAATAAATTTACGTAAATTATATCTTTTGAAATTTAGTACTTTATCACATATAAGTTTTCAATTTTGAAAAGACAATATTATCGCTAACAAATCATCATGATGAACTCATCTAAAAGAACTCTCCTATCTATTGTATGCTCGATTTTTACTTTCTCTATAATGGTGGTGCCTTTGATTCGTTCTGAAGCTTTGCAACAAGATGAAAAACCGTTTTTCTTTAGCAGGCCTCATGTGAATGTTACGATTCAGAATAATAATGATTATATTCTTGGAGTTCATTGTAAATCCGGAGATAAAGATATAGGTTTCCGCAGTCTTAAAAAGGGTGAACGATATGAATGGCATTTTCGTGTTAATCTTATGAATACTACACTCTTTTTTTGTGGATTTAGCCAGGAAAACATAAACAAAGGCGTGTTTAACATCTATGAATCGATTAGAGATACCGATAGATGAAAAAGTTGCACATGGATGGCAGAGATTAAAGGAGTCTATGGATATGGCAAGGATTCACATGACGCTATCCTATTTTATAAATGGTTACACTAGTTTGAAACTTATATAAAAAGAAAGATGTAATGCAATTAATCAAAATATAAAATAAAAGTATGTTTTAGAAGCTTATCCATTTTTTAACTGGTAAAATTATTATATTCAGTATTCACTTGTTTATGTTTTAATAATGAGATTTTTTAGTTGTCAACGCTAGAAAAACATCCGCAATTTCAATCCGTTGTGGTTGAAACCTAGGCATTACATCATAGTAGAAAACGATGTTTCAAAATTTTGACTTGTATTTTCTTTACAAATTTATGCTTGTATTTTTTAAGTTAAAACGCAAAACTTAAGTTTCTACGTTTGTTCAACATTCCACATGGTTTTTTATTTGTAAATTATTTGCGAAAATATATTTTCTAAGGCAATTTCATCATTCCACAAATTATTAATAAAAGCTGTAATCCACTCTTATGGAAAAGAAACATATGTGACATGTCGTATATGTATTACTTTGCATTATGTAATATGCATGAAAAATCAACAAATCGACTAATGGTTTCTTTTGACAAATAGATCAAACGTATATTAACTCCTATAAATAATGATAATAATTTTTTTATGGGAAATAATATCGACATTTTAAACTGTTTGTCTACATGTTTCTTTTCAAAAATTCAAATGCTTAATCAGAGAGGGGGAGGGCCAACTTTGGATTCATAGAAATATACACATAAACCAATACAGTTATAAGACAAGCCAAGTCTCCTAAAAATTTATCAAATGTTTGCTATATTTAAATGAGTTCGTCGTCACACGTATGTTTAAAGTGTGCTAAATCTATTGCCTATTAGATGTCTTTTTATTGGAATAATGTAGGTTTAGACGGTGTTTTGTAATTAAAAATTGAGGTCTGTAACTTTTGGATTCTACCGCAAGACTAGAAATATTATTGTAATATAGTTAAAAAGTGATGATAACCCTGTAATTAGTAAATCTAAGAAAAGAAGTATTAGAATTCATAGTATTTGGGAGAAAGATATCTTTTTAATTGGAAGAAAGTTACTTTAGAAAATGATTTTGGTTATTTCTACACTATTTTTGGTTAATTGAGCAACTTTTATTTTATGATTATAATTACTCCAATATCTCTAATGGCTTTTGACTAATTTAGGTTATTTTCAATAAATTAATATAAATGATAATTATGATACATACTAGAATTTATTATTTTGCTTATATAAATTATGAATTATTGAACAAAGCAATAGCATCACTAGCAAATCGTCATGATAAACTCATCTAAAAAAAATTCCATATCTATTTTCTGGGCAATGTTTACTATATTTATAGTGGTAGTATCATTGATAAGTTCGGAAGCTCTACAACAAAATAGAGAGCTGTTTTCAGTGACAGGACCGCTCATGAGAGTTACGATTATTAATAAGAATAATTATATTCTTGGAGTCCATTGTAAATCAGGAGATAAAGATATAGGTTTTCGTGATCTTAAAAAAGATGACTCTTATGCCTGGAAGTTTCACGTTATTTTTTTTAATACTACACTCTATTTCTGTGGATTTAACCAGAGAGAAGTAAATAAAGGTGTGTTCGACATTTACGAAGCAATTCGGGATTTTACAAGATGTAAAAAATGCACATGGAATGCAGAAATAGATGGTATTTATGGATATAGTGAAAATCCACAGCCGGCTTCTCTGTACTATAAATGGTTAAAATAGTATGAAAATAAGTTATCTGGAAATAAATATGTAATGCAGTTTCTTAAAATATAAATAAAAAATATGTCTTAGAAACTTACATTTTTTAACTGATAAGTTTTATTTACATTTTTATCTATTCGTTATGTTTTAAATATGATTTTTAGTTGTTTAAGCACTAACTAATTAAATCCGTTGTGATTAAAACACTAGACATTGAAACATCGTAGAAAACCAATTACATTTACAAGTTTGGTTATTTTTCGGATAGCCACCCATCATTTTGTTGTATACTTGCCAAAATTCAGAAGTATTTTATTATTTAGAGGAAGCAATTTGGATAATATTGTTTTAATTGATAGGTACCAAACAAAATTATTTTATTAACCCGCATTTAGAAGGAAGACGTTTTAGCAACTAGTTGGCCATGTTCAAACATTTGATTTAAAATGCAGTCCACATAGAAAGAAATCATGTCCACGGAGTCGTATAGGTCTTACTTTCTTTCTCAAAGTAATCTGTTTTTGGGTCAAAACACATTCGTTCGGTAATAATAATACTAATGAATTACTTTTCTAACCAATAAAGTTAGCACAAGAAGATGCACGGATCTGGTTGAACGTAAACAAACCTGAAGCTGATGATTTTAAATTTGTAATGATGTATCTCATTCCCATTCTTTGTTCTATGTATGGAGAAGACAACGCTCGAACTTTCTCAAGTGCAGCGTTGGAACATCTTAGATCAATCCACGGTAAACGATGGGGTCTCTTGGTTGTTACGTTATCACTAAGGATCTACTCTGTTCCACATTAGAAGATCATAATATTCTATGATACCATAATGCCTTGAATCGGAGTTGCTTGGTTTTTTACTATGCAGTAGAATGCTTAAGCAATACGCATCAAAAGAAAAGTCTTATATGAATCCTCCTGAAATAAAGCTCGCGAGGCAATCCAATTGTATTATCGCACGGGAAGGTCTATGCTGAATTCAAAACCTACTCCTCTCTGAAACATCTGATGGCTAATATTGATTTGAACCTGCATGGTTTTCGTCCTAAAATAAGCTTTGATTCAATGGGAATCTCTCTCTGGTTTCAAGTCTTTGTTATTTACTCTCTTTTTTCTTGAAGTTTAGAGAATTTCATTTTTTTTTTGTCTCTTTGTGCGCATTTTCTTCAAGGCTCAAGGTGCCTGCCTCCTATTGGTATCAATATAATCTTGTTTTGTTTTCCCGTCTTTTTAATCAATCAATCAAGCATTATAAAAAAACAATTGAGCAAGTCAAAGGCTCCTTTCCTTCATTGATACACATCTCCACACTTTGATATTTCAAGTAACCAATAAAGTCAAGCAATTAGAAACTGAAGTTTTTGAGACTTGCAGAAAGAAAGAAAAAAAAAACTGAAATGTTTGAGTGCTTATATTAGGAAAAAATACATAACGCACCAAATTCATGAAACTGAAAAACAAAAAAATTATAAACATTTCACTTAAAAACATGAGAGATAGAGAGAGAGAGATGTCGTTGCAGCTTTAGCCAAGATCTCTCCTTTTTCAGCTTCTCATCATCTTTCTCCAAATCCAACTTCTTTCTCTTTCCTGGGTTTTCTTCGTTTCCAGCATTTTCGCGTGGTGTTCTCATCGTGACCTAAATCCCTCTTTAGCGATCGATGGAATAACATCATCATCATCAGGCGCCAAAATCTGTGTCCGAGAGATCCCCTGTCCAGATCGATTTCCACCCATTCAAAAAAGTCCCCAACTTTCGTGAAAATTCTGTAGGGTTTTAGATTTAATCCCAAATTTTTGTTGATCAGATCGGCCCAGGAAGAAGAGGCGATGAAGATGGCGACGAATGGCCGGTTTTTCACAATCGGGCTCGTCACGTCTTGGTACTCATCGAACATCGGAGTTTTGTTGCTGAACAAGTACTTGCTCAGCAATTACGGCTTCAAGTACCCGATCTTCCTCACCATGTGCCACATGACGGCTTGTTCGCTTCTCAGCTACGTCGCCATTGCTTGGTTGAAGATGGTTCCGATGCAGACGATCCGATCCCGAGTCCAGTTCTTTAAGATCTCAGCTCTAAGCCTCGTCTTCTGTGTGTCGGTGGTCTTCGGAAACATTTCCCTCCGGTTTCTCCCTGTTTCCTTCAACCAAGCGATTGGTGCTACGACGCCGTTTTTCACCGCCGTGTTCGCTTACCTGATGACGCTCAAGAGGGAGGCTTGGCTGACTTACCTCACTCTCGTCCCCGTCGTCACTGGTGTTGTTATTGCCAGTGGAGTATAATCTCACTTCCTCAACTCTTAAAATTTCAGTCCTTTAGTATGCATTGAGATGAATATACATTGTTACGGCTGATGAATTTTTCTGATGCTTTAGAGATGATTAGAGGGAATTTTACGGTTCAAGTTGTTTTGTTAGCTAAATATGGTTCATCCAATTCATATCTTGCCATAAATAGGTATAGTTTTTGAACAAGCAAGTTGATATTATGAGCTGAATAAGGTTGATTCAATTCATATCATTGGCCAGTAATAGCAGCTATTATCTTAGGAACAAGCTCAGACACTGCTAAAATTACATTTCTCTTTGATAAAATTTGGCATTGTTTTTTGTGCTCTGGGTTCCCTGAATTCTGTGTTTCTCTCGTCCTCTCTTCCCAATGGGATTTATGTTGCTTAAAAATTTGGATTAGCGGAGATATAGTCTTTTTTCTCTTTGTGATGTGTTTGATCCCTCTGGGATCTTCTTTACTTTATTGACGGCCTCCTTTTCATATATATCTGATTCTTTGTTTGATATGTCTTAATTTCTGTGTGTCTTCAGGGTGAGCCAAGCTTTCACCTGTTTGGATTTCTTATGTGCATTGCAGCCACAGCTGCAAGAGCACTTAAATCAGTGCTTCAAGGAATTTTGCTTTCTTCTGAAGGGTAAGAAATGGCTGCATTGTCGCGGTGGCCTTGTTAAAGTTCTATATTGCCAAAGTTGGAATATGTTAAAGAGTGTTGCTGAAAAAGGTTCTAAAATTTTATTGAAGGGAAAAGCTGAACTCTATGAATCTCCTCCTTTACATGGCTCCAATAGCTGTTGTGTTTCTTCTGCCCGCTACTCTTATCATGGAGAAAAATGTTGTTGGCATTACAATTGCACTTGCAAGAGATGATTTCAGAATCGTTTGGTATCTGTTGTTCAATTCAGCGCTCGCCTACTTCGTGAACTTGACAAATTTCTTGGTCACGAAACACACTAGCGCCCTGACTCTGCAGGTAATATACACTTCATTACATTCTTAATTGGCATTCTCGTTTATGGTAGAAAAGATGGTATGGGTTTTGGTTGGAACAAAGTCAGTTCAAGTAAGCATATAAGTAGTAAGAAGCGTCTATCTGCTTGATCCTTCCGTTAGTGAATTCGTGTCATGTTCTTGTGTTGTCTTTTTGGATGTTGAGTGTATGATAATGCTCGATGTTTCCTGCATTTCCACATGATTTTTGAGATGCAATGCAAATAGACTCATGGATCCCCTTTTGGCTTGCTCTGTGACATGACAGGTTCTAGGAAACGCCAAAGGAGCAGTAGCAGTGGTGGTCTCTATTCTAATATTCAAGAATCCGGTTTCAGTGACTGGAATGCTCGGTTACTCCCTCACTGTCTGTGGAGTTATCCTCTACAGCGAAGCCAAGAAACGGAGCAAATGAGAAGACCAAACACACCAAGATTCATCTTCTTCTTCGTTCCTCCTTATATATATGTTTTATAGTTTCTCCCCTATGGAAACACAGGCAAGTAGTTTCTTTTGCTGTTACCAAAATCTTACACAGGATACATCTCTGACTCTTGTCTTAATGAAAAGCTGGTCCAAAAGCATGGATATTTTTTAGCAGAAACACGTGAGGCAAAAGCAACACAAAGATGAGTATCAAAGGCAAGAATTTAGAAGAGACCTCATAATAATAAGTAACTTTTTTTTTTTGTTCATTCTCGGATTCTCTGTCCTTAGGTGTAGCAGGTTGTTTTGTTCTAAGAGTAACGTTGAATTAGCTTTTGGTTCTTCGATTCAACATTTACAACAACACAGATTAATTAATTAAAAGAGAGAAAGTTCCCTCCCCTTTTTCTGTTATAAAAAAAATCCCATTTTCTTGATGTTATTCTTCGAGAATCCAATATATTATGATGCTATCTCAAGGTGACAGGTTCCCTGAGTTGTTCAGAACACAGAGCTGTGTAGTAACTATTGTGGCAGAGAATCAGTAATTGGAAGTGATAACAGTTGCAGGAGAAAGAGCTAAAAGAGAGAAGGAGACAAGAGAATTATGTTTTCCCCTTATGAGAGAAGAGTCCTGTCTTTGTCTTTGTCTTTGTATTGTCAAATCACTCGCTTCATTTCTTTTTCTGGAAACGGTAGCCATTATCATATCAAGCTGTAGATCCAATTTCAATGCAGCATATCTCATTTTCATGATCCAATCCACACATTACTAAGTAGGCCAACCCAAATATGATACTTAAAAAAAATCAGGATCATTGACCAATATGTGTAAAGCTCTGTTTCTCTCTCTATGACTTTTTAATCTCCTGGCTAAAACTTGGAACTTAGGACAGTTTCGAACTTGGCACCCTGTGTTCTTTTCAAGAGGATTGCTCTTCCCCTGAGTAATAAAATTCACGAGAGAATGGAAAACGCCAAATGCTAAATGGAACGAAAAGGGAAGAGATGTTGGAGTAAATTGGTTTAATAATAATACTTAACAAGTCAGACAAAAGAAAAGGCTGAAAAGGAAGAAAGAAAAGAAAAAAAGTTGGGAGCTTGTAGACTGTGACAGTTGAGTTATAAACTCTTTCTAGTACTCGAGTGGCTTTTTCATGGAGAAACAGAAGATTGAAAAGTGAGGTCTCTTTTGCAGGAGAGGTTGATGATGAGGACGAGGATCTACCCACACGACGTATCTACGCTTTTATCCTAAGGACATTCATTCTATTAACCAATGGACTCACTTGAGACTTTCCACTATCTTTTTTAACTGATTTTGATCCAAACAGTATAATTTCATATCAAAATGAATTATTTTGTTTTGTTTTTCACTCTATAACTGGTCAAATAATATATAGAGGGATGTAATTGTGATTATGCTATCTTGACATACCTAGTGACTCTGCAGCTCTAACTCTGCTGATTTCAAAGATTCTAGAGTGGGGCCACATTTACTTGGGTATAGATTTGTCAGCAATTTTGGATTTTAAAGTATGTTTTGAAATTGGTTTTATTTCTTTTCCAAGAGTTTGTATGTCCATATTCTTCTGGAACTCCATTCTTCAGTTCTCCTATTTACGAATAATGGCAAAAAAAAAACAAAAAATTACCTTAACAAGTATAACATAAACAATTGCTTTCCAGAGCATTAAAATGTGAAGTATATATTAAAATGAAAAATGTTATAAAAAAAATCCCTAAAACAATCTAACCATTTGGAATTGATTATTTTGATTGATGTCTCTAATTTTACTCTTTTGTATATTAAGCTTTATACCATCGAACTTTTAGTACTGTACATTTATTATAATGTCATCATGTCAATATTATTAAATTAAAACCAAAAAATGTTAATGTTATTTAAGCATATAGAAGCATACAATAATTACGAGAAGAATAGTAACGTAATGCAGATGAAATCATGGCAAGGGCTAGTAAACAAAATAAATACGTTTTAGTCTTTGAAAATGTCATTTTCTATGGTTAGTAATAGGATGGACTATACATGAGATAACACAGGCAAAGGCCACATGGAATGTTCTCCTTTATGTGTCCCTTGCTGGTGAGATTTAAATTATTTTAGCTATCTATTAACAATTTCTTTCGACATGTAATTACCAAACGGCAACTTATTCAACCATTTCATTTTCTCTGATAGTAAGTCCAAACAAAACAATATAAAAATGTAAATGACAAAAATTATTATTTACATGTTGCTCGTGATGCGAATGTACTGTTTAGGATAATACTTAAGTAAGAGTCTCATGTGTCACATATGCGTTTGCCTCTATATGGTGACTTTCCTCTTTTATGGAATTCATTCAATATTTTGAATAAAGTTCTGATTGGTGTTTATCTTATGATATGAGTTATCATTTTCTAAACCACACCTGTTTATTCACTTGATGTGATTTTCTTTCAAAAACAATATTATTAACCGTATAGAATCCACAATCGTCATGTAAGTCTAATGGACAAATATGCTGGAACATTAGAAAAAAGAGTAGATCATTGCTCTATGACAATACAACAAAACTAGTAGAACGAAAAATTTTGCTTTATTTCTTATGATTTTGATTCATCAATCATATATGTACACCTATGACTCTAATTGTGTAAACCTTACTTGTTCACTTTATTATTTGCCTGCACTAAAATCGTGTTTTTTTTCAACATCTACTTAATATTGGAGTGGGCAACACAAGTGGTTGTTACGAACAAGGAACAAGATCAGCTGTCGAAAAATACAGAAAATGAATAATAAAATAATAAAAAATGTGAGAATGTTGGAACTTGGAAATGCTGAGTTGTAAAGTCATGGCAAGAGACATCATTAATTCAAATATATTAATGTAGTCAATGAAATAGTTTCATCTTATTAATTGTATACCCAACTGGTTGTATCAATCAAAAAATGACTTTGGAAGTAAATGACCTGCTACATACTTCAATTTGGAAATGAGTTCTCTACTTGCACGTTATGACTGATTTTGCTTTCGTAATAATAACAAAAAACAATACTCCATATTTAGAAAAGGTACAAACAAAATTGTAAAAGTTATTGTAATCGCGTCTTTCCAAATTCTCCTTGAAAGAGATGCGCTCTCTCTCTATGCAAAAATCATGAGTTAAATTTTGAAATGGACATTTCTTGGTTTTTACATAAAGACACGAGTAGTGTTACTTGGAAAGTTTTCGAAAGTATGGAACATATCGAGATAATCAAGATTGTGTATATAAAGTTTTCACGGGATAAAATTATCAAAGAAAAATCTTAGAGGTATGTGGATGGATCATGAGTTGTGTCAGAGCATTGTCTTATGTCAAATTTTCTTTGGAACCTTCTTTTAAGGACCCAAAACTAAAATAAAAAGGCAGCTGAATATTTGATGTTATAAAGGTTAAAGAGTAGAGCACATAATGTTTCAGTGTTATGAGTTTCAAAGTACAAAAAGACAATAAGAGCCATTACTTTTTAATAAAAACTTATGCAAATTAAATAAACTCAGTTATCAGATCCCCAATACTCGCCCTTTATTACACCAAGACATTAGTTTAAAACCTCAACCTTTCCCTTTTCCTTATAATTTCAACAAAATTAAAATACAAAAAGAAAAGATTTGTGCTTCCTCGCACTCGTGCATCTCATAATAATTAACTCCAAAAATCGGGATTTTTCATTTAAATTTTCGTCCTACCTGCCATTGTTGTTGCCTTGCCTCCTCTCTTTTCTATGACTAAGATTAAATAAAATTTGGGCTTATACAACAAAACTAAAACGGCCAAAACTGTTATAAAACAAAACTAAAAGGACCTAAAAAAACAGATTTTTAAACAATGCTGGAAGCGGAGGCACGGTGGGACCAAGCGAGCCATCTCGAAATCACCGCCGTGGCTTGTCGTTGTCTCGGCTCTCCTCCCCATCTCCTCCGTCTCTCAATGCTCGTTAACTCCGACACGCTTCTCCCGTTTATCACTTCTCTACCATCCTCCGCCGCAGCTAGTTTCCGGCAATCACTTATTATCATCTCCGATCGTAGGTAAAGAAGATCCGACGGCCTCACCTCGCTCCACCTCTGGTCTCGATTCCCGCCGGAGATTATTATCCGGTGCTCGAATCTCCCTTCGAAGCTTTCCCGATTCGGGATTAACAACATTCCGTCTTTCCTCTGAGGACGATCTAAGCACCCGAGCTTGACCGATTCCGTTTTCTCTTCTCCGTCGTGGACTGTCAAAGAGCTATCGAGCGATCTCCTAAACGAAATCGGATTCGATTTTGAAGACGAAGATGTTCTAACCTCGTTGAGTCGACTCGCTCGCTCACCAGCCGATGAATGCCGACCCGAGATCCGACTAACCGGTTCGAACCGGGTCGAACCGGTGTTGTTGTTACTGTTTGATTCCTCTTGGCGGTAAGAGAAACGTAGCTCGAACCAGGAGTTACAATCACCGATCAAGAGGATGTCTTCCGGGTCGACCCGGTAACGGCAAAGCGGGCAAGTGGAGTGAGCGTCGAGCCACGTGTCAACACACTCCACGTGGAAGGCGTGTTTGCATTTCGGCAATAACCTCAAAACTTCCGTCGGTTCGAACCGAGCCAAGCACACGGCGCACTCGAGCCCTTCCTTTTGACCGCTCAGAGCACCGAACCGGAAAACCGGTAAAGATTCGATCACGGACCGGTCTATACCGGAGTTTTTTCTCCCTCCTCCTCCACCGCCATATCCTCCTCCGTATCTTGAGACTGCGAAACGCTGCGGGTGATTGACGTAAACGCTGCCGTTTCGTCGTTTGCAGTGTTTGACGTAGAGGAGGAGCAAGAAAGTGAGGGAGAAAACGGCGGTGAGGACGGCGATGACGACGGCGATTCCGGGCATGAAAGAGGAAGTGATGTTATTCCGTTGCGGTGTAGAAGGCGGTGGAAGAGGCGGCGGGGTGGTAGGGTTCATTATAACAACCGCCGTGGTATTGTAACGATCAGTGTCTGCGAGTGTGACATTGAGGAAGAGAGAGAGAAGAGAGAAGAGAAGTGGCAAGGAAGAAGAAGAAGAAGAAGCCATGGCGCTAAAGGCTTCTGGTTGGAAGAGAAGGTCTTTCGACTTAAAAATGCTTTTATTATTTTATTTTTCTTTAAGTGCCTGAAAATAAGGGAGACACTTTTTTCAGTATGAGAAAGAGAGAGAAAGAGAGGTTTTAAAGGGAAAAAAAATACAAAGTGAATAAGGACAAAGAAGATGCATTAAAAACATGACTCCGTCTTTCATCTTTCACGCCATAATTGATTTTAGGACTAACCAATATTTTTATTTTAACTTCTGTGATTCTTTTAACTGAATTTATTATGGACATTTGAACCCAAAAAAAAAGAATTTATTATTGACAATTATGATATTCAATCAATTCAATAAAGGCTAGTAGCTAGCGAAGGGTGATTTCATGCAGTGCAATTGCAGTGTTTGCATGTGTTTAACTATCTGCTTTTAACAAAAGATACAAATTGTATAGGTATATAGAAAGTTGGACTGTTTCAAATGTATAAGTTCATTGAATACTGCAATGTTTTGGAATTATCACACACAAATTATAGATCCCTTTTACTGATTCAAAATCCAACTGCTAGCACCAAGCCGATGATAGCTTCTGGTACAATCAATGCATGTCTCTTAGTCCTTCTCTTTAGAGTTTAAACTATATAAAGACTACTTTCTAAGCCACCGAATCATAGCAAACTCTCCTTTGGATGTAACTTTTCTCTCCACTAATTAATGATTTTGATTTCCATTTTTAGATATAATTCAAATCTTTGTAATAATGTAAAACTCCAAAGCTTATGAAACTCACTCACAGGTAAAAACTAAATTTGTCAATATATATATCAACATGGTCGAGAAGTGTTGATATCTTCTTAGCTTTAAACTGATGAACTTTCTGAAATTTTATTACGCCTCTTATATATGAAATAATGTTAATGTCCTAGTCATGTATATTTTGTTTTATCAAGATGCATTAGATGTTTAGATATTACAATCACATTTTAACCGTTCATACAAAACCTCCATCTGTTCTTTGTAGAATCACAACTTTTCTGTCACGCTTTCAAGCCATATATATCCCCCTTAAATTCTTTTGTATAAGTCATGTACTCTAAACTTAATAACAACCTTTGGAAGATAAGATTTCCAGTTTTATGTCTACCAACCAGGAACCAGCTGGGAAACAAACTCGTGACGTAAATTATCATTACATCAACTTATGTATCTAGTCTTTTCTTAATTATCCTTCTATTCTAAATAGCGCTCCTTAAGATGCCATTGCTAAGCACACATCTAGCAAGCATTTTGGTTTTCTGATTTGATCGACTTTTCTATGTACTTTCTATCACCATGTTTTCTCGTAAACTCAATCATTGCCTCGTATACAAATTCTTGAGACTGTTTCCAAATTGTCCCAGTTTCAATTTCATCAAATGCATAACAGCAAACATTGCAGTAGAGTAGGGGATATGGTACTCAAGATCTACCAATTGAAATAACAGAAAACATTGCATTTGACAAAATTTGAAGACTTGCATTTTTTTTTCCACAACAACTACATTCTACATAATCAATTGGTATTTGCTAATTTTGTTTGTTATATTTATTTATCTAATATTAGAT